TGAAATACTTCAATTCTTGTTACTTTTTCCACAAGATGATCTTTTAGATGTTTGGGACAGCTTTGAGGCGTGTTTGGCTGCGGCTTCGAGCCACAGTTGGAGGCTTTATTTGGTAGTATATGGTTGTGGTTTTGGGGGGTTGGTAGCTGCAGTTTGAGGCTTTATTTGTTTTGATAATGTTTAACTGTGATTTTTGGAGATTTTTGTGCTGCAGTTTTTGAGCCTTTGAAGTAGATTTTTGTAAGACATTTTGAGTTGCGATTTTGAGGCTATTAGCAGTGGCATTTTGATGTTACATGCGAGGTTTTGGAGGTTAGAAAGTGGCCGTTTGAAAATTACATCCCTTTTTTTCGATTTGTGAAAATTTGAGGCCTTAGAACTTCGTTTTGGGGAGCATAAAATTGATGTGAATTGGATTCATGAAAAGTTTGAAGACTCCTGAATTATCGTCTGGGAAGAGTTTGGAAATCTGATATGAAAGGTTTGGATAACGTGAATGTAACATTTGAGTTCAGGCTTGGGTGTATGAATGCATAAGTGTGGTAGGACTGTGTATGTAGTCGTCGCATTGGTTCAGGCTTGTTTCAACTTGCTTGAAATAAAATTTGGAAAGGATACCCTTCTTGGGTTGATCCATTTGTGAAATTGGAGAAAATGATGTGAAATTGGAGAAAATGATACGTGAAATTGGAGAAAATGATACCCTTTTGGGTTGATTCGAGGATCTTGGGCACTCATTTTCAGGTCTTTTCGTCATAAGTTTTGGGGGCCCCCCTTCGCCTTTTTGATCTTTTGGGTGGATCAATTCCTTCTCTCTCTCATCTTCATTTTTATTCTTTTTTTCCTTGCTTCTTGGTTCGATTTTCGGTGCTTATGTCTGATACATAAGTGCTCATATATAGCATTTTGCTATATATGAAACCATTAAACAAGGTCGAAAGTAGGTCGGTTTTGTTTTGGAGCTTAGGGCGATGATGACAAAGACACGCCCGTGGTAGAGCGAAATGATATTCCATCCTACGATATCAGGACCCAATCCTGGGACTGATGAACCGTGGGATGATAGTATCGTTCACCGACACAAGACTAGCGGGGGACTCGTACCTTTTTAGGGTGTTGGGTTGTTGGAGGTTCTATGCCCGACAACATGATCAACTCGTGGACAATCATAATTTTCAAAACTGATAAGAACTGACACGATAAAAATAGATACAATATTTATAAAACATTTTTATACTACAAAATTGATACAACTTCCTTTTGTATGCCTGAAATCCATGTGCATGCTAAAATAAAAATTTTAAATATATTGCAACTTGATTGTCCACTTGTTGATTACGAGTACCGAGCTAAGAAGTACCCTCCTAAGTTAGGTTTAGCAGGACACTCTTCTAGTTGAGTGTCAGACTCTACACATCCCGGTGACCGATAGCAGCCTTCGACGTACCTCGAGTACAAATATATAATATCTGAGCCTAGCCCCGACCCGAGTGCTTGTGGTTTTCTTTCTTTGGATTTTTCGTGGGATTTTATTGGAATTTTTGGTAAAACACTCGACTTTTTTCTGGGATTTTCTTATGTTTTTGGTGATTTTATTTGAGTTGCCATTTGCTGTTTTTTACTTTAGGATTTCCATCGTGAGTCATTTGGCGATTTTCTCGAATTTCTTTTATCATGGGTCATTTGTCGCTCTTTCTTGAGTTTTCCAGGTGGTAGTTCTTTTGTTGATGCAATTCAGCAATTCATGCTAGTTCATTTCTTCATGCTAGTTCATTTCTTAACATTCTGTTACTATACTTCTACATGCTACTGCTACTTTTACACATTATACCTTAGAATAGGAGACCAGTAGTTGGTTTCATAGGAGATACCCGACAACAGAACATTGACTAAACAATTGCATATACCCTTTAAAATTAACGTCGAATCCAAAGATGCTACGACGGAGTGTTTGGAGCAAACACCGGAGACAGCACGATAAGGACACAGAAGAACAACTTTGAGATGGATCTGCAACACCAAAATAAGTTCACGTCAACTAAACATTTTCCTTAGTTTAAAGAACAAGTCATAGGACTTCGAGGTGGTTTGCTTAGCGCAACGTAAATCCTCACCCTATCTTTAGGCTTTTACACAACCTTGTGCAATTATAAGTCCTAACACTAAGTCCTAACACTTTTAGGATTCAGGATTCCGAGGTTACCATTCGGTGCGGTGTAAATCCTTCTGTCTTTCTAGGATATTTGCACGATCAGATATCGTGCGAATGTCAGTCCTAAATTCTAAAAAGAAATTGCAGGATTAAACATTGAGCAACATTATTTCAAAGACATAAAACCAAACAATAGGATAGTTGAAAAATCACCGAGATTCGTCCTGGATCTGTGATATCCCCTACTTTTTGCTCATTTGGATTCCTTAAAATAACTGTTCTTATTTGAGCCACTCACGTTTGATTTTCTCGTGTCCAATCTTGGAAACCTAAATTTTGAAATTGGGAAGGTAAAACCACTGATCTTAATCGAGAGTCTTCTTAAGTTACCCCAGTCATTTAAGATGTAATTAACTATAGGGACTTACCTCTGTAGGGAACTTGGAACCCAAATAAAATAAGTTGTCTAATCCTTATATTAGGTAATGGAACTTGCCGGCCATACCTAAAAAGTTTTGCAGACCAAACGGATGTCACAAACTCTTTAGTTTAGGTGGTTGAGCTTACTGTCAAGTGGTATGCTTATCTTTCGGGGTAGTGTATTACTTGTGATATCGTGCTCATTCATCCAAATTATTCAATATGTGTAATTCGTTTGGTCTCATCCATTTTTTTTAAATTAAAATGTTACTTTCAAAAATCATATTTATATTAAAATTGTTTTCATATTTTACAAAAATCATTCCTTTAAAAAAAAAATAACGACCGACAACACAAAAATTAAATTTTTATTGGTGTAAAGAGAGTGTTAACAACACAACACAATAGAAAATAGTAGTACAAAATATAAATGACTAAAACAAACACTTCTATGGTGTATTCCTAAGGCGGTGGAGGTCAGCTAGGTGGATTGGAATGTTCGACAAGGGTTGTGGCAGCAAATGAATGCTGATGGCAGCCAGAGGAAGGTGCCGAATTGCAGGGACAACAACTATGGACGGTTTTAGGTGACCGAAGGCAGGAGGGTGACTGGAAGGTGCTAGACAACAAAGAAAGCGGTGGCAGAGTGAGGAATAGTCGGTGGAGTGCTGGGAAGGAGGGAGGATGGGTGGACAACAAGATAGGGCTACAGGTGTGGGATGGCTGAGTGCAAAAGTGAATGAGGGAGGAGACCGACGGTTGAGGAGAGGGGAGGAGAAAGATTGGGGAAGGTGAAAGGGAAATGATACGCCACCAACTCGCTGTAGCATCTAACTGGAGCACTACCACCTCTTCAGATACAACCTTAGAACAGGGAGACAACTCAACAAAGGAATCTGAAATCAACACAACAAAAATCGCCCCATACAATTAACAAGCAACAATTTATAGATTCCCATTGACGAAGAAAAGGAAATAAATAAGAAATGAAAGTCCTACATAAAAGGAAGGGGCAGGGTGGCAAGAAAGATCCAGACATAGCTATTAAAATACTTCCATATGTAGAGGAAGCAGAAAAGGAAAGAGGAAAGGACCGGGCGGCAGTCCCGCCCAATTAAATTACCGCCCCAAGGCCGCTCGACCTGGGTTTAACCTTGAACTGGCCTCAATTGGGACGGCCAGTTCAACAGTGCGAGTTCCCACAGCGGGAAACCTCACTTCCGCAGCCCGCACCTGCATAACCGCTTTGGGCGATCCTTCTCTCACGTCCGCTGCTGGAGATCCAGCTCCCGCATCAACTAGTCATGATGAATTGAGTACTATTATATTTTTCCATGGAGTTTTAATTTTCTGCTTTTCTATAAGGTAACAATCAGTCATAAATTATTTGAAAGGTTGATGCAATTTTACTTTTTTTCTTAATGTTCTGTTTATGAATCAAGAAACTAAAGATGAAAAACTAAAATTGAAATCATTCTGATCATTCATTATATTGATGATATCAATAGATAGTATCAAAAGGGCTATTTTATTAGTTTTCTTAGATGAGTTAGTTTAGTTTTGCATTTAGGAACCTATCCAATCTAAATTTCAATCTAAGTTTTAGATATTACCCCATATTCAGTTTTGATCTTAGGCTCAGATAGTTGACTTTTATTTAAGTATATATTCAACTTTTGAACATATTCTAATGCTGGTGCAAATTCAATTCAAGAAAATTGGATAACTATAATTAGAGAGTTGGAAAGTTTAAGATGTCAAAAAACTACCAATTAATTGTTTGGGCTACTTGGTTGTAGAAGTAGATAGCTTTTCCCAAATAATTTCATCAAGAATTAAGCATGCCACTTATCACAACGATCCACTTGGCATGACGCTTATTGGTATATACACTTAATTCAGAAAGGGTGGGCATGGGTTGACTTCTTCAGCAGAAGATTCCAGATCTTGACCTGGGGTAGCTGCGGGCTGCCAGATACTTCTGCATTAATATTACTGGACAACTTTTATTAAAGTAAATGCTTTTAGAAACACAGTTATTTGGTACCCTCAAGTGTTTATGTTGTGGGTTCTGCCTCTTTCTTGAACATTTGTTGTTTGTTTTGTTTTGATTTTTTTTTAATATGCTTATCGTTTGGTTATTGTGTCGTGTTTCCCAAGGTAGTTTTATTCCTACTATTGCTTCACTTGTCTTGCTGAATATTGCTATGTTTTGATGTATTTTTTTCCAGTGTTTATTCAAATCGACATTTTTGTTCCAAAGATACTCTGGCGAATGGGAAATATAAAAACTTGTTTTACCACCCTGTATTAGCGCTTATGTGCAAGAAGTCACTTTTTTTTATTAGCTTTGTAATTTAATTAATGTAGCTGTTTTTTTTCCTTCTTTTAATTGTTTCCGTTTCTTACTGTAGTTTACAATTTCCAGATCACTACGTGCAGTGGCCCTACGTTTGCTATGTAAGGCGTGGGCAGTTTCTGATAGGGTATTTGAAAATTTGCAAGTAAGGCATCTTTATTATTTTCAACTTCTAGCTAAGTATGTGCATGCTTCTTGCTTCTGGTGCTAATTCATTCTAGTGAGAGTGAAGATTTGCATTTATGTATTTCTTGAGAAGGTTTTTGAATAATTGTTGATCCATAGTTATACTCTCAGGAAGTTTCTTTAGTAATTTCAGAAGTGAAAGAGAGTTGAAAAAAAAAAAATGTCATCTCGGGAGACTGGATTTCTTCTAGTATTTAAATTTCCTAATTTGAAGTTTTGAGTAGAAGATGTAGGCCTTAGATGGTGCGACACTACAAGACAAACAACTTAGCTATTCATGATAACCGAGCCTGCTCACTGCTGTACCGGATTTTTTTGTGGCCTAGTCTATACTCTGACCTGTTTGTCTTTCCTCTATTACAATGATTGTATTTGTTTTTTGTGGCCTTAGATGTTTTGGCGCATGTTTTGGTTCTTTCACAGGCTTCCCCGTTGTTTCTCTTTTCTTGTAGCCACCACACATTTTATACCTCTCATTGGCCTTTGATCTCAGATTACATTGCATCTTCTGTTGATAATGATGGTAGACCATGTCCACCTACCTAGCCTTCCTATGAGGAGCCTGAATTCCATTTTGTCTTTTTGGGGCTAGCTCTTCTTTCCCTTGTCGTTCCATCTTGGAGATGACATTTGGGCTCTACCACATGCTTTCTATTACCAATACCTCTCTGCTAGTCATCTCTTGATAGTCCCATAGATGTTGATGGTCGATCATGTCACGATCTACTTGGAATACTAAGGTGGCAAGAAATTGTATGATGGTATTTTTAAAGCATCTACTTACATAAATTTTCAAAATGATCTATAATAATTTTTCTTTCATGGTCACCTTTGAACACATTAAAAGAGCCCCAATATATAAGTTTTGCATGTTACAAAATGATAATAGATACACCATTATTATTAGAACATTGAAAATGTGTAAAATCTTATTTCTTTGTGCTCTACATTAGCTTTATACAAACTTTTTTATTTTATGAAATTTCTATCCTTGAAATTTGCATACTATCCCTGGTAATAATTTTATAGCCGAAAGTATTTACCACAATAACATCTTGAAATAAATGAAATAAATGTAACTATTTCTACTTAATACTTATTATAACATAACAGTATCAATTTAAGTTCATTAGGCATTGGTGAGCAATAATGTAAGTGTGTTTCAAACATAGTAAAGCAAGGCACTGGATTTAAAGTAATATATTATATATTTGACATTAACAACTCTTAAATAATGTTTTCTTGAATGAGAATTATAGCATTATTAACATCGTTATGTTCTTTAGGTTATTGCTAAGTAAAAGCATAATCCTGTGGTTGTATATTTAATCTTTGCTTTTTGATACAATGAGTCAATGCATCTAACATAGATAGTTTCTACCTTCCCTTTCTACTGATTGTTCATTCATAAAAAAATTCTTGAGATGATGCTTTCTATGAGGTAGTTTTCAGTGTAGATTTCAGAGTAAAGTTGGGACAATTTTTCATATGAAATCCTAGCTTTTGACAAAAAAATAGGACACAATGGATCAAAAGGATTCATGTAGCCGACCCTACGTAGTGGGATTAAGGCTTTGTTGTTGTATAAATTGCAAATTATCATGTAATAAATTGCAAAAATAAAACTATTAGATAGATATTAACTTAACAAAATAAGATATGCCATAAAATATTAAGAAATAAGAATAAGATAAGATTGGCAATTACAACTTTATCACTCCTACTTTACAACACAATAATATTTATGGATCTAAATATGAATATACTAAAAATTAAATTTATGTTGCATGTTTTGGAAAATTAGCTAACTCTCAGATATGTAATACTCCCCAACATCTCTCCTTGCAATAGGTCCAAATCTCCTAGAAATCCTCATCAACGACATATGCATCACTTAATACCTCAAAGCCACCTTGACTTTGACTGCATGCTAGTGATCAACAAGTAGCGGCGACTCAATGGATTAGTTATATTATTTTGGCTGCGAGCTTTTTGTCTGACCATAAATGAAAAGAAGAGAGAAACTCGACCTAGGATACAAGCTTACCCTGCAACTTATCTTTGCTTTTCAAGAATTTCAGAGCCTAATGGTCAGTGTTGAGAGTGAATTTGTTGGCCAGTAAATAATGGCTCCAATGATTGTGGGCTCTCACAATGACATGCATACCAACTTTGGTGTAATATTTTCTCTTAAAATCATTTAGCTTTTAACTAAAGAAGTAGATGAGATATCCGCCTTGACTCAACATAACTCCAATCTCTACATTGGAGGTATCGCACTTCATCTTAAGCATCTGATTGAAAGCTGGAAGAGAGAAAACAGCTCTGGGTTGTCTATCATTTCAAAGCATCAAAACTTGCTTGTGCTTTATCTGACCATGAAAACTTGTCTGCTTTGACGGTCTCTATTAAAAGTGCAACGATAGAAATAAATTTTTTATGAATATGCTATAAAAAGAATTTAGTATATGGAATTAGCTGAGCCGAGTAAATGACTATGGGCTGTGCCATTTCACAATAGCCCAATTTTTTTTAGGGGGCCATCCTGATGCAGTAGTTGAAACAATATATTCAAAAACGTGCGTATGTGGTGTTGGAAAATGATACTTTTTTAGGTGGCCATACAATTGCTTTGTAAAACTCCAAACACCTAGAACAAGTGTTGCAAATGATTCTCGTTTGAATAACTATTAACTAGAATGCCATCAAAATACACAATCTTAAATTTTTTAGTGAAGGCTAGGAAAATCTTGTTCATCAACCTCATAAAGGTGATCGAGATATTTGACATACCAAAATGCATGATCATTCGCAATGTGAAGGCAATCTTTCACTCGTCCCCGAGTCTCATTCGAATATAGTGATATAACGACTTGGATCTATCTCAGAAAATTAGTTAGCTCTATACAACTGATCTAATAAGTCATCTAATCTTGAAATGGGGAACTAATATTTAATGATGTTCTTGTTTAGTTCCCTACTCTCTATGCACATACTCTACAATATATCTTTTTTGGGCACAATTAAAGCTAGTTCAACACGCAGGTTGGTTCTCTCACAAACTAAGCTATAATACATTAGATTGTAATTCTGACTGTAACAATCATATAAAAAAAATATAAATGATAATAATATGGATAATCGAATCGACATAAGGCGATGCATTCTTTTGTTTTGACTTAAGAGTCAAATCCTCTTTTCTAATCAACAGATAAGTGAGAATAAGAGTCTGAGAGCGAGGGTTATAGAGGAAAGGAGAGTGAACTATGTGCCCTAGCCGATCAGTGGGAAAGAAAGAAGAGGATGAAAAAGGATTCATGTGCATTTCTCATACCTAACTCAGTGCTGAACCCTAGCCGAAGGAAGCAATGATGTTCAACTCTTGTGTAGAGGAAGGAAGAGGCGTTATCATGCGTGTGCGGTGTCGGGTTGAGATTTAGTCGAAGGTCAAGGAGGTTGGTTTGCGGCTTTGTAGAGAGGAGCGGGGCAACCTTAATCGTGAGCTCTACATGTGCTGCTCTTGATCAAGCCAATATTGAAAGAGATAAAGAAGGGTCTTGCGTGATCTGTTGGGTCGCGTCGATATTGAAAAAGAAGGTAGGGTTATGTACGGGTGCTTGCATGGGAAATTGAAGCCAAAGGAAGAGAAGGGAGTAGATGACGTCTAATTTGTGCAAGGGAAGAGGAGCTCGTGCCCTACCTGTGGAGTTTAAACCTGCGTCATGCTGGATAGTGGGGAAACCGAGCTATGCTCATCATTATTTGAGTTATTTGGTTTTTAGTTTTAATTATAAATTTAATATATTAAAGTTGTTATGATATTAACATAAGTTTTTATGAATTTAAAATAGCTATTGTATGTGGTAGGTTTTGGTGTGAAAGAGAAGGGAGATTGCATCCGAGCGAAATTGTTTTAATGTTGGTTAAGCTTTAATGTCAAGTTTAGTTAATTTAAATGAATGTTAAAAATATTAATGTTAGCTTCTATTATACTATAACATGACTCTTTTATCGAAGAACTTTTACTTCATAAGATTGGGATGCAGAAATTATTGATTTTCATACAATAAGGATAAGGTAAAACTTTATCAGTTTTTTGTGTTAATTTTATAAATTTGTTAAATTAAGATTATGTTAATATTAGTTTTATTCTAAAAGTAGACGTATTTGCAACATGGGGCATACATTTCGAGATCTATGGGTGAATCACTTTGAAACATAAGGTATGTTCTGATTAAAGTTAAAGTTTAATTTACTTAATTTAGAATTATTATTTAGGAAAATATTATTGTACACACCAATTAAGGTTAAAAAATAATTTAACCTAAGCTTGGAGATTTAAGAAGTCTGTGATATGAGCCAACAAGGTTGAGGTGGGTAATTATGTTTGTGAATTTCAGTAATTTTCATTATTTCTTTTTATATTTTTGATTTCATGTATGACATGTTTCAGAGAGATTTTTATTATAATAGATTCTTCGTAATGTTAAGTAGGAAATAATATATTAAATAGTTACATAATGAATTTTTTATATTGATTATTGAATAATTTTTAAATTATAGTAGATGTACATGTATATTAGTATTTTAGATTTAAGTAGAAATGCTTATAAAATATCATTCTATAATATTTAGTAAACAGTTCTGTACAACCACTTGTGTAATGGTTTATTTATGAGATTATATCGATCATGAGTGTGTTAGATTATTTTGACGGTGATCCTCAAATGACCAGATGTGTTTTAAGAATATAAAGTAAAAGTAAAGTTAAAAGTTACGATTAAATCTTATAAAGTACAATAAAAATAAATGCATTTAGAAGTTTTAGATTATTCTCATTGAGTAAATATGATGGACACAATCTTAGATTATTATAAGGTCTCATATTGTAACATATGAAAGACCAGCATACATATTATCTTCTTTTCCTTGGGTTACTGTAATTTAGAAATGTGATTG